GTTGGAAGTAACTTCCCCCACAAGTTGATGGAGATATGGCAGCACTGGGAGAGCTGGAGAAAGGATCTGAGAGTAGAAGGAAATGGGCCACAGAAGGGATGGCTCATGGCAAAACAGTTTGATCAGGAAGAGGACACAGCAAAGACATCCAGGAAAGGAACCACAAAAAGGGAGGCACAGCCTTTTCCCTGGGCTAGAACTCTCCCTTCCTATTTATATTTTAAAGCCTTTGGACAAACTCCTCTTTCTTGCCTTCTCCTCTCTTTTTCTCTCCTTTTGTTCCTGTGGGTTGTGGTAGTTTGGGTTTCTCAATGGATAAAAATCCCAGGCCTTAATGCTGCTTTGAGCAATACAGGTGGTGTGGGGAAAAGGATTGTACCAAAGCTTATTGTGAAATATTTCTGACAGGAATTCAGTTTGGTATTGCTTTCAAACTTTGAGGGAAAATTTGAGGGAATATCCCCCTTCAAGCTGAAAACTGAAGAAGAGCTTGGAAAACCTGGTAGATTTAGAAATAATCTCGATGCAGCTTTACCTGCATCCATTTTTTTGTTGTTTTATGGGAATCAGAAGAAGAGCTCGGAAAACCTGGTAGATTTAGAAATAATCTCGATGCAGCTTTACCTGCATCCATTTTTTTGTTGTTTTATGGGAGTCATGGAGCACCCCCAGCTGGATTGTGAGTGCAGCTGTGCCAGGTGAGCTCTGAAGCCAGAATCCATCCCCAGCTAATGCTGTGCTGCTCTCTCCCCAGCCTGAAGCTGCGCTCCCTGCGAGTGAACGTGGGACAGCTCCTGGCCACCATCATGCCCGACCTGGACCTGCAGCAAGTGAATTATGACATTGATGTGGTGGATGAAATCTTAGGGCAGGTGGTGGAGCAAATGCATGAAATCAGCAGTACTTAAAATCTCGGTGTTTTAGCGGAGTTTTATTGCTCTTCCATTGTAACCTGTAGGTTCCAGACTGTAAATGGGGCTGCTTCACTTTATAGATTTGACATAGGTGGATCTCTCAGTGTAAATATTCCACATTTAGCTGTTCACTTCCTCCTCAAGGAGCACTGTCAATACCGACCCTCCCTGATGTACTTAATTAAGGATTTTGCTTTGGAAATGTATTTGTAATTAAATTTGCAGATATTTTTACTATTAGGAATCTTACTACTTTTCTACAGACACCTTTTGGTTGACTTTGGATCTTATATAAGCATTAATACCTGTGAGTATTTCCTCTTTTAAAGTAGTGGAATATCTTAGAAATGCAAAAAAAAAAAAAAGGAAAAAGAACTTCCTTGATTTCCTTCCCAGAGTTGTTGTATCCCACAGTGTTGTTCCATTGCTCCCAGCAGTGTTCTGTGTTGCATTCATGGCATAGAAATGTGAGTAGCAGGTGAGAATTTGGGCCATATTTGGAGAATATTTATGTGGTACTACCAAAAGAAGAGTTCTTAAGGGTTTTACCTTGAAAACTGGGGATGGACCAGTTGGATGGAAGCACTTGGAAAAGGTGGGATGTTTCTTTATCTGTGGTGTAAACAACAGGGTGAAAATGTTCAGCTTCAACAGCTTTAGACAGTTTTTATTTCAGGCAGGAAAAGGGAATTCCTCTTTTTGACATCCCCCCCTTTAGAGTTGTGTGCTCTAAATCTTCCCATTTTTCCATGATCATGGGAAACCTGGAAGCAGTGGTACCAAGAGAAATTCCCAGCCAGCTGCAGGGATGGGATTTCTTCCCAAGTCATTGGGAATGACAAACTGGGTGGCAAAGACAGCACATCCATCCATTCCTCTGTGGTGGGATTGGTCACCCAAAGAGCAATCCACAAAAATCATTCTTGCTTTGAAATTCAATACATAATTTAATTCGTGTTCGATATGTTAATTCTTAGGAAGTATCTTTTTTTTTTTTTTAATTTAAATGAAGCCAATATTGTGGCTTTTGCACTGCTACTGTCCTGAGTTAATCCCTTGGTGTCTCTTTGAGGTGCAGTTCAGTGGAATTCTTTCCATGGACAGTATTTCAGTAAAAATCTCTCTCTATGCCAATAACGGGAATGCACTACTGTTGTACTTTATCGAGAGAAATTGAATGTTTGATTTGGGAAGAGGTGGCTGTAATATAACTATGTATGACTTTTGCAAAGTTTATATTTCCCATTTCTTGGTGTGTAGCTTTTCCATTTCTTAATCATTATTTATTATGTTTCATCAGACCGTAGCTGAATTTCTTGTAGACAACTGCAAAATAGAGCACATGTCTATATTAAAAATGGCAAATTTACAATGTACATTTACACTTTGGACAATGGTGGACTTATGGAAATGGTTTCTATTTACTTGTTAAAATGTATTTTTTGTAAAAAATAAAAAGATATGAATTGGAGTTTGCAGGATCCCAACTTGTGTTTGTTTCTAAATAAAGCCTGGCTCAGTCTGGTGTTGGACTGGGATGGGAATGTCCTGGATATGGAAAAGCAGCACTGGTGTAATCCAGAGGGTTTTAGTGGAATGGAGCTGAATTTCAGAGAGCTGAATTTCCACAATGCAGCTGAAATTTCCAAAATCAAATCTGGAAATTTTCAAATTTCCAAATTCAGCTGAATTCCTGAGCTGAAATTCCAGAATTTCAGGAAGTTCTGCTGTTGATTCATGGACGAGCTTCCTTGCCTTCAGAAATTCCCCCAGCACATAGACTTGCACCATCCTAAGGCAGTTCCTGCTGCTGTGGAACTCCTCAGGACTTCTGTAAAAATAATTTTAAAATCCCCTATTCCATACACATCCTTGTCCCTCTGCTGGAAAGAGATGGAGAGGGAGGGGGTTGGTTTGGGGGTCAGGGTTTGGGGGTCCCTGGGGTTAAGATTGATGGAGGTGGATGAGCAGGGCACTGGATCTGTCAGGACTTAATTCAATAAATGGTCTCAAACACTGCCAAAGAGGGAGTTCCCTCAGGATAACTCACCTGAGACAGGCACAGTTGGCAAACAGGAAGGGGAAAGGTTTGGAATGAGCACAGCACAGAAGATTCCAGTGTGCAGACAGAGGGAAAAGTGCAGACACACCACCAGGAGGGTGCCAGGCTTGGTGAGGCTGATCTGGGTGAGCTTTTGGGCAAAAAATCCCACCATGGCCCTCTGTGGGGACAGGCTGCCGCCTCTGCCACGGCTGCCCTGCCCAGGGGACTCGAGGGACGTGGGGCCACAGCCCCACAGCCCATTCTGGGCTTCTCCTGCAGCCCAACACCCCTGGCTCGGGGTGTTACTGTTGTGAAAAATGCGTATTTTATGATTGGCTTTTTGCAAATATTCAAAGGAATATTATATGTGTTGTGTTAGAAAGTTATGCTGTATTAGTTCTCTTAAGTAGTGTATTAAATATAGTTTTAGGTCATAAAAAAATGTTAAAATAGAAACCATGCTATGTAGGTTGCTTTTTTAAAGAAAGGGCTGGCAGTGAGGTAGCAGCCACAGGACACCTGAATCCTTCAGAGAAAGAGAATTTATTCCCCATTATCAGAAGAAACAAAATTTTTCCCACCTTGAAGGTGCTGTTGGGATTCAGAGGAAGAAGCTGACACTGACCAGACAGAATCCTGTGTTTGAATGGAATTTATGCATCATGTGTGAGGTGTATGAATATGCAACAGGCTGTTGCTTTTAAGGGTTAATCCTTTGTTAACGTGGGGCCTTTTTTGGGCTTGTGCTGCCCAGAAAAAGGTACCTGGACATCCGTAACTCTTTGTTTCCATTGTCTCATATTTTCCTAATCCAAATTGCCCAAATTATTATTACTCTATATTGCTATTTTTATAACCATTTTATTACTACTAAACTTTTAAATTTTTAAAAACAAGTGACTGGCGTTTTTCACACTGTCATTGTCCCCCATGAGGGTGGCACAGGAAGGCACAGCCCCTGTGTCCCCAAGCACAGTGGCTCCTGCCATGGAGCCACCACAGCACCAGGTTGGGATCTGAGCTCTGTGTTGGGCCCTGGCACAATGAGGAGCCAAAGCAGCCCTTGGGCTGTCCCAAGGAGAAGACTCCAGAATTCAAGGGTTGGCCAGAGAGTAGGGGGACAATGGCAGCTGTGCCACAGGGATGACAGCAAAGAGTTCTCCAATGAGAATAGAAAGGTTGAGAGAATTGGGATTTATTCAGCCTGGAGAAGAGAAGCTTTGGGGTGATCTCAGTGTGGCCTTCCAGGACCTGAAGGGAAGTGACAAGAGAGATGGAGACAATTTTCAAAGGATGGAATGACAGGACAAGGGGGAATAGCTTCGTACTAAGAGAGATGGTTTAGATTGAGCATTAGGATGAAATTGTTCCTTGGGAAGGTAAGGAAAGGCTGGGATGGAATTCCCAGAGCAGCTGGGGCTGCCCCTGGATCCCTGGCAGTGCCCAAGGCCAGGTTGGGCACTGGGGCTTGGAGCAGCCAGGGACAGTGGGAGGTGTCCCTGCCATGGCAGTGGTGGCAATTTAAGGTCCCTTCCACCCCAACCATTCCATGATTTTGTGATGTAGAATTAATCTTCCTTTGTCCCCTGCTGCTCCGTCCCCTGCCTGTGAGGCCCTGTGGGGTCTGGGGAGCTCTCAGAGCTCCATTTTGGGCTTCAACCTCCCCTGCCCAGAGGCTCTTCTTCCTTTGGGCAAGAAGTGAAAGCAGAAGCCGTTTTCTCACAATGTAACTTGTCATTATTATTATGTTTTTCAGGCAAAAGGTTTGCCTTTGAAACAGGGAAGTTTGGGGGCACGTTACCCATTAGGACTTCCATATATTTACACCGGCCAATGAGAGCAATGGCTGTGAAATTAAAAACACAAACAAATTAAAAAAACAAACCAAAACAAAAAAAAAGCAAGCAAACATTCTTTTGAGAAGGTGCCAGCACTCGGCATTTTCATTTTAGGTTTATTCTGATGTTTTTGCGGTTTTTTCCCCCCCGGCAGCCCCTGAGGGCTCCTGAGGCGGCGCGCGGGGCGGGCGCGCGCATGCGCGGGACGGGCGAAGGCGGGAGCGCGCGGGAGCCGCGGGCGGGCCGCAGGTGAGGGGTGGGGGGGTACCCGAGCGGGGGGAGCCGCGCTGGGATTTGGGGTTTTGGGGCTCTGGGGAGCAGGATTGGGGCTCTTCGGGGTCTGGAAAGCGGGATTGAGGATCCCCAGGGCTCCGGGAGCGGCCAGCGGCGCCTCTGCCCTTCCCCAGCCCGCGCCGGGCCGCCCGTGCTCCCTCCTTGTTTAGATTCCGGGCAGGGTTGTTACCCCCAAAAAAGTTTTTCTCTTAAGTCTTAAACCAATGCACAGGGCTTGATACCGCCCTCTTGCAACCCCTAAACAGGAACTTTAGCCATAATAATCACAACTTTTAGAAACAGCCTTCCTCAAAGCATCCTGTCAGTGACTGCGGCGCAGTTCCAGGCTCTGCCAGCGGTGCCTGGGAAATGCGCACAAAGTTTGGCGGCCAGAGCCGTAAGGAACAAGAATTCATGTGGGGTTTGTTCTGTTTTCTCCAGGAAACATGAAGGTCATCACCTGTGAAATCGTGTGGCATAATAAGGAGCCGGTTTACAGCTTGGACTTCCAGCATGGAGCGGATGGGAGGATGAATCGCCTGGCCTCGGCAGGGGTGGACACGGCCGTGAGGGTGAGCTGGATCTGGGCTGGAGGTGGGGGTTGTTATCCAAAATACTGGGATGGTTTTGTTATCCAAAATACCGGGTTGGTTTCGTTATTAAAATATTGGGTTGGTTTCATTATTAAAATATGGTTGGTTTCATTATCCAAAATATTGGGTTATTGGCAGGTACATGCCAAGGGGAGTGGATGATTTCAGGAAAGAGTGTAAGATTGTATATAGAATTATAGGGTGGTTTGGATTGGAATGGAACTTAAAGCTCACCCAATGCCACCCCTGCCATTACAGGGACACCTCCACTGTCCCAGGCTGCTCCAAGCCCCAATGTTCAACCTGGCCTTGGGCACTGCCAGGGATCCAGGGGCAGCCACAGCTGCTCTGGGAATTCCATCCCAGCCCCTGCTCACCTTGCCAGGGAACAATTTCACCCTAATATTCACTCTAAACCTACTCCCCTAGTTTGAAGCCACTCCCCCTTGTCATTACACACTCTTGTAAATACTCTCTGTAGTAGTTTATTCCAGTTGTCTCATAAAACTTTATCCTTCTTCACTGGCAAACTGACCTCTTCTTCCCTGATGGTGCATATGTTTCAGGGATTTTTTTATACATATATTAGGGCTGGAAAAATGTCAGTTTTCTTTGACATAAAATAAGCTCCCTGATAGGACGGTGGTGTGAGGTGGGGTCAGGCTCTTCTGTCACGTCCCAATGATTCCTGGTCACCAGAAACTGATGCCTTGTGCAGGCTGCCCTAGAGCAGAGGCTGGGCAGAGCTACAGAACAAAGCAGGGATTTATTCACAGCATCTCCTCCATGGATGCACCTTGGGCAGCACCAGAGCCCAGCCAGGGCTGCACCCAAGATGAACCAAAATGGCCCCAAAATGCACGGCCGGGCACGGGGGCTGTCCCTGGGATCAGTTCTGCTCCATTTGCACCTTGCAGTTCATTGTCCCATCCCAGCTTTAGCCCAGGCAGTCCCACCCTGCTTGTTTTTCTCTCTCCAGCCCACGGGGTTTGTGCTCCTGGGCTGAGATTTGGGTCATTTGTCCTTGGTGCCCAGCTGGAGCAGGAATTGTTTTGTCTCCCTGCTCTGTGCACAGAGCTCACCATCCCATCATATGAAGCTCAGATTCACACACTAAAGCAGCACAGAATGTGAAAAATAGAAAAGCTCAAACCTGAGGCATTACCGAGGGAAAGGAGGGAGAGGAAATGGCCTCAAATTGCATCACAGGGAGGTTCAGATTGGAGATTTGAAAATAAATCAGAGTGGCAGAGTGGCCAGGCCTTGGGCTGAGCTGCCCAGGGAAGTTTGGAGTCACTGAATTGTCCCAGAGCAGTCTGGACGTGCCCTTGGGGACAGGGATTGGGGTGATGCTGGTGGCACTGGGTGATCCTGAGGTCCCTTGTCACCTTGAGGACCCTGTGCCATCCCATTTGCCTGGAGAGCTGTAACACTCTCCCAAGCAGATCTGGAAGGTGGAGAAGGGCCCGGATGGAAAAGCCATCGTGGAGTTCCTGTCCAACCTGGCGCGCCACACCAAGGCCGTCAACGTCGTGCGCTTCTCTCCCAGCGGGGACATCCTGGCCTCAGGAGGGGATGGTGAGAGCTGCTTCCCCTCTACCTCATCCTGAATCATTTTGGAGTTAAACTGAGTGAAATCCTGGATGAACAAAAGGGACAAAGGGAAATAAATCAGTTTGCTCTGGTCTCTTCTGCAGATGCTGTCATTTTGCTGTGGAAGCTGAATGACAGCAAAGAGTTGGAGCCGTTGGTGTTTCAGGATGATGATGAGGCTCAGCTCAACAAGGAGAACTGGGCAGTCATTAAAACTTTGAGGTAATTTATTATTTGGTCAGTTTGGTTTTCCCTTCAGTGGTTTTGTTTCCTCAGTGGTTTCTAACATGGTGCACTTTTCAGTGTGTGTAGAACTCCAGCACTGTCTACAATTCATTTACTCTAATATTAATCCTTTTAACTCCGTGTTCATGAGACTCAGAAAAAGGAGGGAGAGGGACATTTTGAATCATCAGGTGGTGACAGGACAAAGAGCAAAGGTTTTAAGCTGAAAGAGCAGTTCTTGGCAGCTGAGGTTGATGTGAAATACTTGCAGAACTTCTTGAAGCACCAGCAGGAATTTTTATTTGCCTCTTGATATTTTTTTTAACCTAAAAATTCATAAAACTCATATTCACAGGTAGCTTTTAATTTTCAAATTAATAATTGGTTTCTCCTGCCTTCCAGAGGCCACTTGGAAGATGTGTATGATATTTGTTGGACCTCAGATGGGAATTACATGGCATCTGCTTCTGTGGATAACACAGCAATCATGTGGGATGTCAATAAAGGTAAATGCTGCAGTTATCCCTTGGAATTCCTGATCTGCTGGAAGTGCCTTGTGGCATTTCCCCTCAAAAAATGGGAAACATCTTTTTTTATGATTGTTTTTCTGTGTGATTTTCTGGGTGTGTGAGGGCCCTCTATAAATAGATATAAAATATTCTCAGAACAACAGAATTTACACCTGAGGAATCTGATCACCTTGGAGTATTCAGGAAATTACTTCACACATTTTTTACACCCCAAAATTCTTGCACAAACTCCTTACTTCACTTTTTGGTGTTGTGCAGCATGGCCTGAGCTCTGTTGGTTCTTTCCTTTTGAAAAGCTATTTATTTTCTTTGAAACTTGGCAGCTTCTGGTATTCCTTTGCAAGAAAGCAACACTTAAATAATAGGAAAAATCCCACCTGTGGCCAGTATTCAACAAAGTATTTCTAAAACTCTCTGTAACTTTGTCTCATCAGTGTTTTGGCTCTGAGACCTTCCCTTGTGGAACATCAGTGGGGTCAGAGAGCTCCTGCCTTTGCTAATATTAATCTAATATTAATTCTAATTAATTATCAAATTTGTAGTGAACAAACCTTTAACTGGCACTTTAAAAGCAACTTTTGCTGATAATCTTTTCAGCCACCATCCAATGAACACTTTTATGTTTAAAATATTATTTCCCTATGTTTTGAAGCATTTTTTTGTCTTGTTTGATGTCTGAAATATTTGATAACAGACTGGAATTTGTGATCTGAAAGCTGTTTGTAATTTCAGGACAGAAAGTTTCAATATTCAATGAGCACAAGAGTTATGTCCAAGGAGTCACCTGGGATCCTCTGGGCCAGTACATTGCAACCCTGAGTTGTGACAGGTGAGCTCTTGGTCTGAGGGGTTTTCCTGAATATTCCTTTTTCCAGGAGGGTGAATTAAAAGGAAATATGCCAGATAAACATGAGGGTTTTTTTTATTCATTTTGTTGTGTAAGCAGGCTGATGTGAAAGTAAAACGATATTTTAGTTAATTTTTTAGCTTGTGCTCAATGATTCCTGCAGTCTCTCTTAGCAGTAAATAAACTTTTGTAGGAGTCTTCATTTAGGAATTAAGTTTTTATGTTATTGATCATTATTGGGGGCTGCATGGTTGTGTTAATGAGCTGATAAATTCATCCTTGGGCATGGAGCAGCCTGGGACAGTGCAAGGTTAAAAGGAATTAAAAGGAAGTATGCCAGATAAAAAGGAGGTTTTGTTTTATTCACTTTGTTGTGTAAGCAGGGTGATGTAAAAGGAAAATGATATTTTAGTTCATTTTTTTGGCTTGTGCTCAATGATTCCTGCAGTCTCTCTTAGCAGCAAATAAACTTTTGTAGGAGTCTTCCTTTAGGAAGACTTAATTCCTTTAATACCTTTAGGAATTAAATTTTTATGTTATTGATCATTACTGATACTCTTAAAAGAGAGCAGCATGGTTGTGTTAATGAGCTGATAATTCATCCTTGGGGATGGAGCACCCTGGGACAGTGAAAGGTTAAAAAGAAATATGCCAGATAAAAGTGAGGTTTTGCTTTATTCACTTTGTTGTGTAAGCAGGGTGATGTAAAAGGAAAATGATATTTTAGTTATTTTTTTTGCTTGTGCTCAATGATTCCTGCAGTCTCTTTTAGCAGCAAATAAACTTTTGTAGGACTCTTCATTTAGGAGTTAAATTTTTATGTTATTGATCATTACTGATACTCTTAAAAGAGAGCAGCATGGTTGTGTTTATGAGCTGATAATTCATCCTTGGGCATGGAGCAGCCTGGACTGTGGAAGGTTAAAAGGAATTAAAAGGAAGTATGCCAGATAAAGATGAGGTTTTGTTTTATTCATTTTGTTGTGTAAGCAGGTTGATGTGAAAGTAAAATGATATTTTAGTTAATTTTTTGGCTTATGTTCAATGATTCCTGCAGTCTCTCTTAGCAGCAAATAAACTTTTGTAGGACTCTTCATTTAGGAGTTAAATTTTTATGTTATTGATCATTACTGATACTCTTCAGAGAGTGCTACATGGTTGTGTTAATGAGCTGATAATTCATCCTTGGGCATGGAGCACCTTGGGACAGTGAAAGGTTAAAAGGAAATATGGCAGATAAACGTGAGGTTTTGCTTTATTCACTTTGTTGTGTAAGCAGGGTGATGTAAAAGTAAAATGATATTTTAGTTAATTTTTTTGCTTGTGCTCAATGATTCCTGCAGTCTCTTTTAGCAGCAAATAAATTTTTGTAGGAATCTTCATTTAGGAATTAAGTTTTTATGTTATTGATCATTATTGGGGGCTACATGGTTGTGTTAATGAGCTGATAAATTCATCCTTGGGCATGGAGCAGCCTGGGACAGTGCAAGGTCCCTGCTCAAGGCAGGAATGGAATTAAATGATCTTTAAGGTCCCTTCCAGCCCAAAGCACTCCATGATGATGGAGATGTAGTTAATTGTTTTTAAGGGGGTTCCCACTCTTGAGGAGCCCACAGTGCAGGTGGGAACAGCCTTTCCTAATTCCCTTTTTCCTCCATGAATCCCAGTGCTGGCATTTCCCAAACCTTGTGGAGTCCAAGCATTGTGAGGAGTTCGTTGGTTCTTTGGTCATTAAAACACATCCCTCTGGTGGTGTCTCATGAGGAGAATTTTAATTAATGCTTAATTGGTGGTCCAGGTTTATATTTTAGGTGCTGACTGAGAAGGGAGATGCTGGGGCACTTTTGGGAAACCTGGGGTGAAAGGAAGCACAGGAAAGGCTCAGAGAGCTGGGATGGTTCACCTGGAGAGGAGAAGCTTTGGGGTGACCTCAGGATGGCCTTGCAGGGCCTGAAGGAGCCCCAGGAAAGCTGGAGAGAGACAATTTCACAGAATTTCAGAATCCCTGGGTTGGGAGAGACCCCCAAGACCATCAAGTCCAGCCCAGCCCCAACTGAACCCTGGCCCCCAGTGCCACATCCAGGCTCTGTTAAACACACCCAGGGATGGGGACTCCACCCCCTCCCCGGGCAGCCATTCCAGAACTTTCTCACCCTTGCTGGAGAAACCCTTTCCCTGCTATCCAGCCTGTGTTTCCCTTGGTGCAGCTCGAGGCTGTGTGCTCTGGGTGTGTCAGTGCTGCTGCAGACAGAGCCCAGCCCCAGGTGAGCACAGGCCCCTTTCAGGAGCTGTGAGAGTGATGGGGGCAGCCCTGAGTCTCCTTTTCTCCAGGCTGAGCACCCCCAGCTTATTACAGCGACCTGAGGTGGTCGCTGGGGGTGAGAGAAAGACGAGAATCTTGTTTCTTGATCAGAAGGCTGGATTTATTGATATATGATATATAATACATTATAACTGTACTAATAAGAATAAAGAGAGAAGTTGCAGATGTTGCTAAGCTAAGAATAGAAAGAAAGAATCTCTAACAAAGTTGTGTCCAGGGACTCTGTCCCCAGCTTGCTCCTGTGATTGGCCTTTAATTATAAACATGGAACATGAACCAATCCCAGGTGCATCCCATTGCATTTACAGCAGCTGATAACAATTGTTTACATTCTCTTCTGGGGCCCTCAGCTTCCTAGAAAATGGACAAATCTGAAAGAAAGGATTTCTGTGAAAAAATGTCTGCGACACCAACTCCCTCAGGGCTTCCTCACAGGGCTGGAAGGACACAGGGGTGCAGGGACAGCACCCAGGGAATGGCTGCCAGTGCCAGAGGGCAGGGCTGGGTGGGATCCTGGCAATGAGGAATTGTTCCCTGGCAGGGTGGGCAGGGCTGGGATGGAATTCCATCCCTGCATCCCTGGCAGTGCCCAAGGCCAGGTTGGACACTGGGGACAGTGGGAGGTGTCCCTGCCATGGCAGCAGTGGCTGATTTCTCGTGTCCCTCCCACCCCTGCTGCATTCCCTCACTCCCTGCTGCCTGACTCTGCTCTCCCACACAGGGTCCTGCGAGTTTACAGCACCCAGACCAAGCGAGTGGCCTTCAATGTCACCAAGATGCCATCGGGGTCGGGAGCTGAAGGAGAGGTACCTGCTTCTGCTGGGGCTGCCAACTCTGCTGGGGGCTCTTTCATCTCAACTTCCTCTCCCATCAAACCAAAGGATCAAATATTTTACTTTCAAACAATTCCTGTGTTGTAGAATCATCAAAGTTGGAAGAGACCTTCACACTCATCCCCTCCCACCATCAATCACCCCAAAACCACATCCCCAAAATTTCTTGCTGATGAAAGCAGTAACACAATCCTTCAGTTGTAAAAGTTAAAAATAGTGTGGAGAAAACAGTTCTGAACAGGAAAAACTTCAAACATGCCTGGCAGTAGCTGGGAGTTTATTAATAGATGTGACAGTAGTAATAATAGTAATAATATTTTAAAGTTAATAATATTTTAAAGTTAACAGCGTGGAATTTTCAAGAAGGTAGTTACATTGTGAAGAAAAATATGAATTAGGGATAATTTAGGTAACTCTAACCCTAAGAGGGAAAACAAAGAGCTTTTTTTTCCTCCCAAACAGCTTTAAGTGACAGTAAAATAACACCTCCAGGCTGGCTATAACTTTCTTAATTCCTTCTATTCATTCTTTTTCTTTTTGGAGGAAAACATTGGTAAGAGTTTTATGGACACTGAAGAACAGCCTGAGAGCAGGCATTTGCCATGGGAGAAATTCTCTTTCAACCTCTAATCCTGGGGTTAGCCTGGGATGCCTGAGCAGCCCTGGGTGTTAAACAATGTTGTTCTCCAGGTTATGGCTGGTTTTTGATGGCTGCTTTAAGGTGACAGCTCTGGGAGTGTTTTACTTTGCAGCTCAAGAGGGATCAAGGATTATTTTTCTTAGCTGGGAAGAATTTATAGAGAGCTTGAAGGAGTTTTTTAAAGGTTTTATTTGAAAAGTTCCATCAGGCTGGAGTGTCCAAGTGGATGTTTTGTGTCCAGGGGTTGCAGTTGGACATTCCTGGCCTTTTCCACAATCCTGATTTCTGTCTTGCAGGTGAGGAGCTTTCGGATGTTCCACGATGACAGCATGAAGTCGTTCTTCCGCAGGCTCAGCTTCACCCCTGATGGCTCCTACCTGCTCACTCCAGGTGTGGGGACATCTCCTGGCACTTGGGCCGTGTCCCTGAGCTTGGAGAACATTCCCAAGGTCATGGAATCCAAGCTGTGACCTATCCCCACCTTGTCCCCAGAGCACTCAGTGCCACCTCCAGGGGACACCTGCAGGGATGGGCACTGCAAAGCTCCCTGGGCAGCCCCTGCCAAGGCCTGAGCTCCCTTTCCATGCAGAAATTTTCCCAAAATCCAACCTAAACCTGCCCTGGCCCAGCCTGAGGCCGTTCCCTCTGCTCCTGTCCCTGTTCCCTGGGAGCAGAGCCCCAGGGACTGTCCCCTCCTGAGGCTGTGCCCTCCTGGCAGGGACTTGTGCAGAGCCACAAGGGCCCCTGAGCCTCCTTTGCTCCAGCCTCAGCCCCTTCCAGCTCCTCAGGGATTCTGCAGCCCCTTCCAGCTCCCTCAGGGATTCTGCAGCCCCTTCCAGCTCCTCAGGGATTCTGCAGCCCCTTCCAGCTCCTCAGGGATTCTGCAGCCCCTTCCCAGCTCCTCAGGGATTCTGCAGCCCCTTCCCAGCTCCCTCAATCTATTGCATCCTAATTTGAATGTTCCTTGATATTTCCTGCATCTCAGAGATGCTGATTTATCCTAATTAAGCCATTCCTCATTCTCCCTATTGAAGGGAATAAAACCTCCACAATATTCTCCATTAACAATCCACAACATCAAATTTCTCCTGTGATAAAAGGGATATTTATGACATTTTTGCTGGATAAATTGCAAGACTTCACCAGAAGTCTTAAGATAGACATGAAGGATAATGAGTGGGGTTTTTTTTGATTTCGTCCTTCCCTCAGAACATTCAGAGTAAAAACAGCCCAGCAAGGAGGGATCAGTGTGTGCCTGTCCAAACCCTGCTTTTATTGATGTCTGGCAACATCAAGAAGCAGCTTTGAAGAGGGAAATGTATAAGGGAAAACAAAACCAGCACTAAATAAATATTTGGGATGCCTTTTTAAGTTGTATTCAGCTTTTGCCCAACTGACAAGCCTAATTCCTGGGAATTAGAATATTTCTGGAGAAGCCAAATTGCCAGGAACTGGAAAGTTTGTGGACACAAGGTGTGTGCTCAGGAGCTCTCTGAGGTGATGAGTGATGTTGGAACTTTTATTTTTGCAGCTGGCTGTGTGGAATCGGGAGAGAACGTTACCAACACCACCTATGTTTTCTCCAGAAACAATCTTAAAAGGTAGGGGTTTAATGAGATAAAAATCTGGTTGCATTTAAAAATAAACAATTCAAATAGTGCAAATGTTGTTTTCTGAACTCCTGGCTCTCTCTGTAGGCCCGTGGGTCACCTGCCCTGTCCTGGCAAGGGCACTCTGGCTGTTCGCTGCTGCCCTGTGTACTTTGAGCTGAGAGGAGCCTCTGCTGCAGGTATGGAGTGGGGGTTTGGAAGGGCAGGAGCCTCCCTGAAATGGAAAATGCAAATTATTATATCTGAATTATTATAATTTTGAAATTAAGGGACTCTCAGGCAAAGATATGGGAGTAGGAATAACAACTCTTTACTGGGAAAATTAAAAATATGAATGCAATAGTACAAACAAACAAAAAAACTGATAGTGGAACCCTGGAAAAAGTTAAAGATAGAATCTAAAATGTTGGGCTTTGTGCTTTCCCAGATCAACTGCACCTGCGTAAGCAGTGTGATAAATTATATAATTGTTAGATGTGATGATTGTTTAGTAATTAAATATAATTATTATATAACCATAAGAAGAATAGTGAGAAACTATGTTGGAAATTCAGAGAGGGGCTAAATTTATGTATACAATAGAACAATATAAGTTTAATAATTAACATGAAAGTTATATAATGATAGAGTATAAAACATGATCATTTCGGATGTATGGTCGGAGTCAGATTTGGGTTGAATACACCCCTGACACCCAGAGCTCTTAATAAAAAGCACAGCATATAATCCCTGTGATTATGTGTTTTTGAACGCTAACAAAACCACTGACAAAGTAAGAATAGGAGCTGCCCCCCTGCGTGTCAGGGCGGTGTCCCAGCCCCATCCCAGGGGGGCTCAGCCCTCCTGCCGTGCCGGCTGTGGCTCTGCTGCAGCAGGGATCCTGCACAAGGGGGGAGTTTTCCTCTGCAGCTCCAGGGGAAGAGGCAGCTGCTCCTCTGGGGATGCAGTGGAAAGGCTGTGCTGCTGCAAGGCTTTGCAAGGGTCTTCAGGGTGAGAGAGATAGATGAGAATCTTGGCTTCATGATCAGAAGGCTGGATTTATTATTTTATGATATATAATACATTATGACTATACTAATAGGAATAGAGAGAAAAGTTCAGAAGCTGCTAAGCTGAGACTAGAATAGGAATCTAATAACAAGAGAGCTCTCTTTGAATCTGTCCCAGAGAACTTGGTCCCTGATTGGCCCTTAATTGTAAACATGGAACCTGGGCCAATCCCAGTTGCCCCTGTTACATTCCACAGCAGCAGATAACAACCAGTTCCATTCTTCTTCTGGGGCCTCAGCTTCCCAGAAGAGGAAAAATCCCAAAGAAAGGATTTTTATGAAAAGATGTCGGTGACACTGTGCTGCTGTCCCAGCGCCTCAGATTGGATCCAGGGAGGAATGCTTGGCTCCTCCCCTGGGCGGAGCATCTCCCCATGGGATGCTGGGATTGGATCAGCCCTGCAGGGACACTCAGTGGCCATGGACAGCAGAGATCTCCTGGAGGGAGGGTTGGCTGTGGGAGAGAGAAAGGAAAAACTGCCCAGGAACAGCAGAGAACTGCCCCAGCTCTGACAGACGGGAATAGAACTGTTGCAGACATTTTTCACAGAAATCCTTTCTTTCAGATTTCTGCATCTTCTGGGAAGCTGAGGCCCCAGAAAGAGAATGTAAACAATTGTTATCAGCTGCTGTAGAATGCAATAAGATGCACCTGTGATTGGTTCATGTTCCCATGTTTATAATTAAGGGCCAATCACAAGAACAAACTAGAGACAGAGTCCCTAAACACAACTTTGTTATAAATTCTTTCTTTCTATTCTTAGGTTAGCAAACATCTGCAACTTTTCTCTTTATTCTATTTAGTATAGTTATAATGTATTATATATCATATATCAATAAATCCAGCCTTCTGATCAAGAAACAAGATTCTCGTCTTTCTCTCCCCAAGCGACCACCTCAGGTCGCTGTAATATAGAACACATCCCATTTCCAACCTCAGACATATGGGAAGCTTCAGGGAGTGGGAACTTTCCGACTTCAGGGAGTGGAAACTCCCAGCAAATCTGTGAAAAGATGTAGCTGGTCATTTTTTTATGCTCCAACCTTTCAGCATTCCTCTAAGACAGTGCTGAGAAGTTGTTTCCTGACTCTGAGGCCCAGAGTTCACCTCAAGTCCCTCATGAGTTGCTTTGGAGTGGATGAATGTTGTTCCTTGGCCTGTCAGGCTGCAGGAACACTGTGAAATATTTCCCTTGAGCTGTTAACCATTTTGTGTTCAAAAGAAATAACCTGGTTTAGCACCAGAGGAGCAGGGCAGTGAAATAATTCCTGTTAGTCTCAGCTGCCCACATCACAGGGAGTGGAAGAGTTTGCCACAAGCACTGGTGTTTATTCAGGGAAGCAGTGCTGGTGTTACTGGGCACAGCAGGAATTCTGAGCTGGGGACAGGATTATGTGAAGTTGCACAAGAATTGATTTTGTATTTATTTAATCCAGCTTTATTGAGCCTCCAGGAGTGTTTATATTTGAACAAGAGTGACATTACTCAGGTGAAAAGGCAGAGCTTGGTTACATTTGTAGTATTCCTTACAGGATTTACCTGTTTTATTTCCATCATAATTTTAGATCCATGCTGTTGCAAAGGAAGGAGATGAGGGTCTGCAGTTGGTCTTTGTAGCTCCTCTAAAGGGACACTTTAATATTAAAGTTCTTATAAATACTGGAAAATAGAGGGGAAAATTTACAAAACAAAACAGTAGCAATCCAGAGGTCAAAATGTCTCCTAAATGTGCTTGAAATGTGAGGCAGCAAATTCACCTGAGCCTTCATAACAAAAGGTGTCTGTCCTGGCCAGGAGTTGGGCTTTGATCCTATGGGTCTGTTCCAGCTCAGAATATTCTGGGATTCTGTCTTCAGGTCCAGTTTTGTGCACAGAAATGGTGCCTGAAGCCTTCAGCTGCCAGGAACTGTTTAAACACCCTTCTGCAAGTCTAGCCAGGCCCTTGGTGTGGAAACAGAACAGTAGCAATCCAGAGGGAGAAAGGTGCCCTTTTGTTTTTCAGCTAAGAAAATAAATAGTAAATTTCAGACAACAGATATGTTAAATTTTACATTTTATGCACGAGCTGTCTGCTCGGTGTTTACACTGATTGATGCTGTAATTTTATTTAAATTAATGCCTAAGTGCAGTCACTACCATGCAGTAAATCCAAGAGAATTCTCACTGTTCATTTCTTTGCAGGTGGAATCAGCCCCAAATCCCCCCCTGCCCTGTTCAGCCTCCCCTATCGATTGGTGTTTGCTGTTGCCTCAGAGGATTCTGTGCTGTTTTACGACACTGAGCAGTCCTTCCCCTTTGGTTATGTCTCCAACATCCATTACCACACCCTGAGTGACATTTCATGGTAAGGAATTGTGTTCCTGAGGTTTATTGTGATGTGAAATGTCCTTTTTCCACGTCCTGTGAGTCCTGCCTGGGGTTTGCATTTCATTTCTGCCATACACGTGGTCACTCAGTGTCTGAGCAGCAATCCTGTCCCGTTCTCGGCTGCTTTTGATGGCCTGGAAAGGCTCGGGATGGCCTTGGGACAGCCCGCGCTCCAAAGGACAAGAGGAGTCTTCAGGTTTTTCAGTTCTTCAGTGTTTATTGGTTTTTATCTACAAGATTTTCTCCCGGCCCGACAGAGCACAGCACGCCGGCCATGAGCACACTGAGAGCCCTCGGGGCGGTCACTGATCTTTATACCCAAAACTACGTGTGAGATATTTACCTATTCTCCCCAGTGCCTTTCACCCTTATTGACCAGTGCACTTTCAGTAAGAACCAATCCCAAAGTGCCACCACCACCACAGAAGATGGAGGCCGAGAAGAAGAAGAAGAAGAAGAAGGACAGGACACGCCCCAATTCCTCCATTTTGTTTCTCCAGACCCCCCTGTACCGAGATTCCAAACCCTGTGTTTCACACTACAATTAACCCATCCCTTCACCATTTACCCCCGTGAGATCCTCCCATCCTCACACAGGTGTCGTTTCCCGTGCAGGATCAAAGTGCAGCCACCAGACACTTCTGGCAACGCTCCAGGACCTCCGAGCCCCCCAGGGGTGGTCTCGGTGACTCTGCACATCAGGGCTGAGGCGCTGAGATCCCACATCTCCCCCTTCTGTTTGCACTAAAAACACTTCTTTTGCCACCTGACTCATGACACGCCTTAGACATGCAAAGATGCACGGGATAACGAGTACGAGGACTAAGAGAATTATTAAGACATAGAATGCCATCTTTAAAATTCCTCTCCATATGGGAGAGACGTCAAAGAATTCTACCAGATCATCGATCCACCATCCTGTGATCTCGCCAAGTTTATTTATGCTGTCCTTTATTTTCTGAATGCTTTCATGAATTGATCTTGAATAGTCTGAGAGATTCAGGCAGCACATCCCTTCAAATTCCTGCCTGGGGTTTGCATTTCATTTCTGCCACACACGTGGTCACTCAGTGTCTGAGCAGCAATCCATCCCTGTTTGCTCTGTCAATTAGACAATTATGGCTTTTAATCAAGTAAAAGCTTGGCCTTTAATGGAAATAAATCAATCCCAACCAGGTCCAGCGATGGATCCTTCCTGGCCATTTCCTCCACGGACGGGTACTGCTCCTTCGTCACCTTCGAGGAGGATGAGCTGGGAGTGCCCCTGAAGGAAAGGCCCCAGATCCCTGTCAGGACTCCTGGAGCAGCAGCAGACAAGAAAGCCAAGAAAAGCCAATCCCACAAAGTGATTTCCCCAGGCTCCAGGCTGCCAGAGGGGACCCCTCCCAGCAAGGATCCCCCAGTGCCACCCCGAACCCCCAGCACTGCTGGGAAGGAGCTGCCTTCAACCCCTGTGGGCATCAAAAGCACCCCAGTGCCATCCCCTGCCACCCCTGGGGGCATCAAAGCCACCCCAGTGCCATCCCCTGCCACCCCTGGGGGCATCAAAGCCACCCCAGTGCCATCCCCTGCCACCCCTGTGGGCACCAAAGCCACCCCAGTGCCATCCCCTGCCACCCCTGGGGGCATCAAAGCCACCCCAGTGCCATCCCCTGCCACCCCTGTGGGCACCAAAGCCACCCCAGTGCCATCCTCAGAGGAGAGGAGGAGCAGCCAGAGCAGCAGAGCCCCCCAGCCCAGGAGGGTCACCCTCACCACGCTGCAGCCCTGTTTCAAAACACCCAGGTGAGATTTTTGCGTTTCTATTTACACCTTCCAGCTGTAAATAACAGGGCCAAGACAATTTGTGCTTGTGCTGCATTTAAAGGCTGAGCTTTGCTCACAAATCCCCAGCCCTGGCTCTGAGTGGGAGCTCTCTTGATGGGGAGTTTTTTTTGTTGTGCTGCAAATGAGAGGTCAAAATGTCTCCTAAACGTGCTTGAAATGTGAGGCAGCAAATTCACCTGAGCCTTGACAACAAAAGGTGTCTGTCTGTTGAAAGCAAAGGGAGCCAACCCATCTTTGTTGATCAGCATCGACTCCAATTTATTGACCAAATCAGCCACCTTTTATAACAGTGTTAATTAACTTCATGCATATTGCAAAATCCGAGCTCACCATAGGCTACAGAGAAAACTCCAACCCCTCCTTTTGTTTACAACACCTGTGGTTTGTTTATTGAAACCAAGATTTGTCTTCTCACCGTGATATGAAAAGTTCTCAAAACCTTCATATCTGTTCCCAGAGCAGCCAAGGACAGAATGTTTACCTGTTATGAGAAGACTGTCTGAGAATCCTGCTGTTTATAAAAAATATGCCTGACAACCTAGTTATTTACAGAATCAAGCCTGGGAAATGCTGCTTTACAGCTGCCTTTTACTTTTCCATCAGCTGGATACCTTCATGGCCTCTTTCCTTAAGCCATGTCTGAGCAAAATTCTCCAACATCTGTCCTGGCCAGGAGTTGGGCTTTGATCCTCTTGGTTCCCTTCCAGCTCAGAATATTCTGGGATTCTGTCTTCAGGTCCACTTTTGTGCACAGAAATGGTGCCTGAAGCCTTCAGCTGCCAGGGGCTGTTTAAACACCCTTCTGCAAGTCTAGCCAGGCCCTTGGTGTGGAACTTGAAATATTGATTAGGTGACTTCCTAAAAGATCTCATTTTTTAGAAATTGCCAATAATATTGATTGTGCTGGGGCTCTGAGCACCCTGCTCCTGTGGAAGGTGGCCCTGCCCATGGCAGGGGTTGGAAATGGATAATGCTCCATTCAACTTGGAAAAATAAGGGAAAATGTGCAGTAAAATATACCTGAATTACTTTTGCAGTTAAATGATTCTATATTAATTAAATCTTGAAGACCTCTTGGGTCTGTTCCAGCTCAGAATATTCTGGGATTCTGTCTTCAGGTCCACTTTTGTGCACAGAAATGGTGCCTGAAGGCTTCAGCTGCCAGGAGCTGTTTAAACACCCTTCTGCAAGTCTAGCCAGGCCCTTGGTGTGGAACTTGAAATATTGATTAGGTGACTTCCTAAAAGATCTCATTTTTTAGAAATTGCCAATAATATTGATTGTGCTGGGGCTCTGAGCAGCCTGCTCCTGTGGAAAGTGGCCCTGCCCATGGCAGGAGGTTGGAAATGGATAATGCTCCATTCAACTTGGAAAAATAAGGGAAAATGTGCAGTAAAATATACCTGAATTACCTTTGCAGTTAAATGATTCTGTATTAATTAAATCTTGAAGTGGAATACTCATGGAAATGATGTCTATAAAGCAATTGAACTGTTTCTGCTCTTTTAAAGGAGAATAAACTTGATTTCCTTGAAGCCAGACAGCCCAGCCTCTGCATACCCAGAGCCAGCCCCCATCTCCATCCCTCCTTCCTCAGAGCAGCAGCATGGTGAGTTTTTGTGGCTCAAAACACCAGCCCAGTCAGATTTGTCCATTATAGATTTATATTGTAAAAAAATCCTCACTCTGATGGCAAATTCTAAAGCTTCTTCATTATTACAGTGCCCTGATGAGGTCTCCAGGGTGAGAGAAAGACGAGAATCTTGTTTGATGATCAGAAGGCTGGATTTATTGATATATGATATATAATACATTATAACTATACTAAAAAGAATAAGGAGAGAAGTTGCAGAGGCTGCTAAGCTAAGAATGGAATAGAAAAGAATCTAAAAACAAGAGAATTCTCTGTCCCTGTGTTCCAGAGAGCTTGCCCTGTGATTGGCCCTTAATTGTACACATGGAACATGAACCAATCCCAGGTGCATCCCATTGCATCCACAGCAGCTGATAACAATTGTTTACATTCTCCTCTGGGGCCTCAGCTTCCCAGAAGATGCACAAATCCCAAAGAAAGGATTGCTGTGAAAAAATGTCTGCGACACTTCATTGTTTTGATGTGTGCTTTGAGAGATTGAGATTGATTTGAGAGGTGCTTTGGGCAGTATGAAATGTGTTCTCCCTGCTCAGGGCAGCTGATGGTGACTCCCTACAGTTTTATAGCAGTGAAACCAAGGATAAATTCCTGGGGGTGATGTTCTCCAGCTTTTAAAAGACTTTTGTACTTCCAGCTTGTCCTTGTTGCAGGTGCTGGGCACTCTCAGACCAGGGTTGGGTGGTTTTTAAATCTGAATTTATTAATTTGAAATGATTTTCCTGTCTGATTCTTCCAGAGAAGCCATTGCCATCTGATGAGAGCCTGCAAGCTCCCCCAGCCCCAAAACGTGCCAGGACTGAGGATTTGCCCCTTCCTTCTGCTGCTGGAGACCAAACCAGCTGTGAGTCCAACAAATAAAGGCTGAGCACACCCTCCCAGCCTGAATCACAGCAGCCCTGTCTGAATTCATTTCTTTTTGCAAACATTCAATCCTCAATCCTCAGTCCAAGTTCCCTGTGCAGGTTTGATGTAGAAACATCAACATTTCTGTGAGCACACTGCCAGTAGAAGATCCAGGTTTTAGGAATGTTCTGCAGCAAAAAAAATAGTTGGGAAGTGACTTCAAGAATAAGGAAATCAGGGAAATCTGGGGGTTAAAAATCCATCCAGTAAGTTGTGAGTCTCCATCAGAGTCCCTAAATCATGTTTAGAAAGCATCATGCCTTCCAGTAACTGACAAAAAGAATCCAGTACATTCATAAGATTTGATGTTGTTCAAGACCTAAAAAAAGAGGGAATTGTGTCATTGCAGCCTTTTGGGTTATTTCTGGTGTAAAATGATGAGCAAACCAGCTGTGAGTCCAACAAATAAAGGCTGAGCACACCCTCCCAGCCTGAATCCCAGCAGCCCTGTCTGAATTCATTTCTTTTTGAAAAATTCAATCCTCAATTCCCAGTCCAAGTTCCCTGTGCAGGTTTGATGTAGAAACATCAACATTTCTGTGAGGACACTGCCAGTAGAAGATCCAGGTTTTAGGAATGTTCTGCAGCAGCAGAAATAGTTGGGAAGTGACTTCAAGAATAAGGAAATCAGGGAAATCTGGGGGTTAAAAATCCATCCAGTAAGTTGTGAGTCTCCATCAGAGTCCCTAAATCATGTTTAGAAAGCATCATGCCTTCCAGTACCTGTCTGGCAAAAAGAATCCAATGCATTCATAAGATTTGATGTTGTTCAAGACCTAAAAAAAGAGGGAATTGTGTCATTGCAGCCTTTTGGGCTATTTCTGGTGTAAAATGATGAGCAAACCAGCTGTGAGTCCAACAAATAAAGGCTGAGCACACCCTCCCAGCCTGAATCCCAGCAGCCCTGTCTGAATTCATTTCTTTTTGCAAAAATTCAATCCTCAGTTCCCAGTCCAAGTTCCCAGGTTTGGTGTAGAAACATCAACATTTCTGTGAAACTGCCAGCAGAAGATCCAGGTTTTAGGAATGTTCTGCAGCAGCAGAAATAGTTGGGAAGTGACTCAAGAGTAAGGAAATCAGGGAAATCTGGGGGTTAAAAATCCATCCAGTAAGATGTGAGTCTCCACCAGAGTCCCTAAATCATGTTTAGAAAGCATCATGCCTTCCAGTACCTGTCTGGCAAAAAGAATCCAATGCATTCATAAGATTTGATGTTGTTCAAGACCTAAAAAAAGAGGGAATTGTGTCATTGCAGCCTTTTGGGTTATTTCTGGTGTAAAATGATGAGCAAACCAGCTGTGAGTCCAACAAATAAAGGCTGAGCACACCCTCCCAGCCTGAATCCCAGCAGCCCTGTCTGAATTCATTTCTTTTTGCAAAAATTCAATCCTCAATCCCCAGTCCAAGTTCCCAGGTTCTAAAAAAAGAGGGAATTGTGTCATCGCAGCCTTTTGGGTTATTTCTGGTGGAAAATGATGCTCCCAGGGCTGTGGGGTGGAGCTGGTGCCCTCTGAGCTCAGCACAGAGCAGAAATGGGAACGTTGAACTGCAAGAACAAGAAAGCAAAAGGAGGAAATCCTCTGAAGAGCTGCTGGGAGAATGAAACAGCAGAAAGTTCTTCTCCTTTTATTTCTGCACTGAAAAAAGAAATGCAGCTGTGGGATTTTCCTGTGGCAGCAGGATTTGAGATTTGAGTGTGTACATTGAATTTTCCCCTTTTCCCCAACTCCCTTAGCCAATAAAACACAATCCAGTGGATGGGAAACTGCTACACTTAAAATTTCTTTTTAGTTTTTAATACTTCATAAAAGCAGAAATACAAATGTTCCAGAAGTGACTCACAAAAGTCTCACAGGGAGGAAATATTAACCAACACCTTCAGGCAAATGAATTTTGCCTCCAATTAAATTTCAACAATTAATGAGCAAAAAGTTGTAGGAGACTTGGTGGGATCTTTGTTTTCTCTCTGTGGTGAGGGTGGATCTTCATTAGATTTAATTAAAGCTGGGTTTTCTTCTAGTGAAGAATTACAGAGAGATCATTCTTACATTTCTTGGGTTTCAGGTGGCTTTTGCAATTTTTCAGGTGGGTTTCAAGTGGATTTTGCAATTTTTTAGATGGGTTTCAAATAGAATTTGCAAATTTTGGATGCGTTTCAAATAAAATTCACAATTTTTTAGATGGGTTTTCAAGTGGATTTTGTAATTTTTCAGATGGGTTTCAAATAGAATTTGTGGGTTTTAAGATGGGTTTCAAATAGAATTTACATATTTTAACCTGGGTTTAAAATAGAATGTGCCATTTTTAGATGGGTTTCAAACAGAATTTACATATTTTTAGATGGGTTTCAAGTGGATTTTCTAATTTTTCAGGTGGGTTTTAAATAAAATTTGCAGGTTTTTGATGGATTTCAAAGAGAATTTACAATTTTTGGCATGAATTTCAAATAGAATTTGCAATTTTTTAGATGATTTCAAGTGGATTTTGCAATTTTTCAGATGGGTTTCATTTCAAATAGAATTTGCAATTTTTCAGATGGTTTTCAAATAGAATTTACAATTTTAGATGGGTTTAATTTCAAATAGAATTTGCATTTTTTAGATCAGTTTCAAGTGGATATTACATTACATTACATTACATTATATTATATGTAATACATTATATAACATGATATAATATAGACTAAGTATAACATAATTATAATATAAATAAAATTTATAAATATATAATATATTAATAAGTAAACTTATATAACTTATAAAATAAAATTTACAATATAAATAAAATTTTAAGTAGATATGAATTAATATAAATAAATAATACATGAAAATATAAAAGTAATATGTAAAATATGAATAATATATAATATATAATATTTATATATATTATATATATATATATATAAAAATTGACATAAATATAGTATAAATATAAAATATAAAGACCATCAAATTAATTTTAAAAAAAGACTTTCTGGGGATCTCTGGGTGTTTTCTGCTCTGGCAGCAGCAGGGCCCTGCAGAAGAGGCAGATGAATTCTGTGCTAACAGAATGTCAGGAATGAAACGACATCAGGGCTGTGATTGCACCACTTCCCTGGGCATCCTTCCTTTCCCAGGAACAAATTTTTCCTGATTTTTCCCGACCCCAGCCCTGGAGTGGCCAGCACAGTTTTGGCAGTCCCAGACCTCAGTGCTGCCTGTGAGCAGTTGGAATTGTGGAATTCGGGCAGGTGGGAGCTCCCTGCCCTGGGAGCTGCTGATTTTCTCTGGGCTCGTGGAAGTGGGAGATTGAAAAGGGTCTTTATATTTTATATTTATACTATACTTATGTCAATTTATATATTTTTAAATATTATATTATATTATATTATATTATATTATATTATATTATATATAACATTATATTATATTATATTACATTACATTACATTACATTATATTACATTACATTACATTACATTATATTATATTATATTACATTATATATATTATATATTATTTATATTTTACATATTACTTTTATATTTTATGTATTATTTATTTATATTAATTTATATGTATTTAAAATTTTATTTATATTAGAAATTTTATTTTATTAGTTATATAAGTTTATATTATAAATATATTATATATTTATAAGTTTTATTTATATTATAATTATGTTATACCTAGACTATATTATATGTTATATAATGTATTACATATAGTATAGGATAATATAATATAATATAATTAATATAATATAATATAATATAATATAATATAATATATATTATTTATTTATATTTTATATATTACTTTTATATTTTATGTATTATTTATTTATATTAATTTATATATATTTAAAATTTTATTTATATTAGAAATTTTATTGTATAAGTTATATATGTTTATATTATAAATATATGATATATTTATAAGTTTTATTTATATTATAATTATGTTATACCTAGACTATATTATATGAAGCGAAGGGAGACGACCCATCCTCTGATCAGCATCGAACTCCGATTTATTGATCCACCAGGCACATTTTATAACCGTGTTAATTAAGTTCAGACATATTGCAAAACCCGAGCTCATCATTGGTTACAGATTAAACACCAACCCCTCCTTTTGTTTTCAATACCTGTGGTTTCTTATTGAAACCAAGATTTGTGTTCTCACCCTGATATGAAAGTTCTCAAGGCCTCCATGTTTGTCACTTTTGCTTTCCCATAACTTATCCAAGGACAAGATTGTCGCTGTCTCGGCTGTTTTTGATGGCCTGGAAAGGCTCAGGATGGCCTTGGGACAGCCCGCGCTCCAAAGGACGAGAAGAGACTTCAGGTTTTTCAGTTCTTCAGTGTTTATTGGTTTTTATCTACAAGATTTTCTCCCGGCCCGACAGAGCACAGCACGCCGGCCATGAGCACACTGAGAGCCCTCGGGGCGGTCACTGATCTTTATACCCAAAACTACGTGTGAGATATTTACCTATTCTCCCCAGTGCCTTTCACCCTTATTGACCAGTGCACTTTCAGTAAGAACCAATCCCAAAGTGCCACCACCACCACCGAAGATGGAGGCCAAGAAGAAGAAGAAGAAGAAGAAGGACAGGACACGCCCCAACTCCTCCATCTTGTTTCTCCAGACCCCCCTGTACCGAGATTGCAAACCCTGTGTTTCTCACTCTAATTAACCCATCCCTTCACCATTTACCCCCGTGAGATCCTCCCATCCTCACACAGGTGTCGTTTCCCGTGCAGGATCAAAGTGCAGCCACCAGACACTTCTGGCAACGCTCCAGGACCTCCGAGCCCCCCAGGGGTGGTCTCGGTGACTCTGCACATCAGGGCTGCTGTGCTGAGATCACACACAAGATATTTACTTGTTATTAAAAAACAACCTGAGAACTTCTGCTGTTTACATAAATGTGCCTGAGAACCTTGTTGTTTACAGAAACAGGCTGTG